ATATTAAAAAATCGTGAAAACTGCATAAAAATCCCCAGAAAAGTCTGAAATATAAATCCTGACGAGCTGATTTGAAAAAAATAAAGTGACATTTCTACCGGACTAGGATTTTCGAAAAAATCGATTTGAATTTTTTTTACCAGGAAATCTTAAAGTTGTGTAAAAATTCCCAAAAAATTCTAGGATATCGATCTCGAGAAACTGATTCCAAAAAATTAAATATCAATAGTACTGGATCAAGATTGTCGGAAAATTCTATTTGAAAACGCTTTTATTTAGTTACTAAAAATCTTGAAACTCCCTAACAATATTCGAAAAATTCTAGGACGTTAATCTCGACTAGCTGACTCGAAACAATAAATAATCTTGCTCTGGACCAAGATTTTCGGAAACTTCAATTTGAAAACTTTTTTTTAATATCTGTGAAAACTGTCTACAACTCCCCAAAAAACTCTGGAATATAAATCTTGACGAGCTGATTTGAAAAAATTAAATGTCATTTCTACCGGACCACAGGATGTTCGAAAAAATTGTTATGAATTCTTTTTTAAATCTAGAAATCTTGAAAGTTGCCTAAAAAATCCTCAAAAAATTCAGGGATATCGATTTCGGTTAGCTGATTCGAAAGAAAAAAGTGTCATATTATCGGACCAAGATTTTCGAAAAATTCGATTTGAGAATTTTTTTTTAATACCTACTTAAAAATCGTGAAAAATCCACAGAAAAGTGTGGAATATAAATCTTGACGAGCTGATTTGAAAAAATAGTGTGAAATTTCTACCTGACGAGGATTTAAAAAAAAATCGATTTGATTTTTGTTATCTGGAAATCTTAAAGTTGTGTAAAAATTCCCAAAAAATTCTGGGATATCGATCTCGGGAAGCTGATTTCAAAAAATAAAATATCATTAGTACTGTATCAAGATTTTCGAAAAATTCGATTTTGAAAATTTTTTTTAGTCACTAGAAGTCTTGAAAACTGCCTAATGCTATTCGAAAAATTCTAGGACATTGATCTCGACTAGGTGCTCGAAAGAATAAATCGTCAGTGGTACAAGGTTTTCGAAATTTTCGGCTTGAAAACGTTTTTTTTAATATCTGAGAATCGTGGAAACTGTCTAAAAGTCCTCAAAAAACTCCGGAATATAAACCTTGATGAGCTAATTCGAAAAAATAAAATGTCATTTATACCGGACCAGGATTCCGGTTCCAGTTCCGAAAACATAAAGTGTCAATGGAACCAGACCAAAATTTTCGAAAAATTCGATTTGCAAACTTTTCTATTAATATCCAAGAATCGTGAAAACTGCCTACAACTCCTCAAAAATATAAATCATGAGGAGCTGATTCGAAAAACAAAGTGTCATTTCTACTGGACCAAGATTTTCGAAAAATTTGATTTGAATTTTTTTTAATACACAGAAATCCCGAGAACGGTCTAAAAACCCTCAAAAAATTCTAGGATATCGATCTCGGTTAGCTGATTCGAAAGAATAAAGTGTCATAGTACCGGACCCAGATTTTCGAAAAATTCGATTTGAAATCTTTTTTTATACTTGTATCGGAGAATTGTGAAAACTGCCTAAAAATCCTCAAAAAATTCTGGAATATAAATCTTTACGAGCTAATTTGGAAAAAATAAACTGCCTAACAATATTCGAAAAATTCTAGGACATTGATCTCGATAAGGTGCTCGAAAGAATAAATTGCCAGTGGTACCGGACAAAGGTTTTCGAAAATTTCGATTTGAAAACTTGTTTCTTTAATATCTGAGAATCGTGGAAACTGTCTAAAAGTCCTCAAAAAACTGCGGAATATAAATCTTGACGAGCTAATTCAGAAAAATAAAATGTCATTTCTAACGGATCAGAATTTTCGAAAAAAAAACGACTTGAAAGTTGCCTAAAAATCCCCAAAAAATTCTAGGATCTCCACAAACAGATCCGAAAAAATAAAGTGTCAATGGTACTGGCCCAAGATTTTCGAACAAATTCGATTTGAATTTTTTTAATGCATAATATAGAAATCGTGAAAACGGTCTAAAAAATCTCAAAAAATTCTGGGATATCAATCTCGACCAGCTGATTCGAAGAAATACAGGGTCATGTTATCGGACCAAGATTTTCGAAAAATTGGATTTGAAAACTTTTTTTATATTGAAAAATTATGAAAACTCACTAAAAATCCCCAGAAAATTCTGGAATATAAATCTTGACGAGCTGATTCCAAAAAAGAAAGTGTCATTGCTTCCGGATAGGGATTTTCGAAAATATCGATTTGATTTTTTTTTAATCTAGGAATTTTGAAAGTTGACTACAAATACACAAAAAACTCTGGGATGTCGATCTCGACAAACTTATCCGAACCAAGATTTTCGGAAAATTCGATTTGAATTTTTTTTTTTTTAATAAAGGTGTAAAAACCCCAAAAAAATTCTAGGATGCCGATCTCGACTAGCTAATTTGAAAGGATAAATTGTCATTTCTACCGGACCAAGATTTTGAAAAATTCGATTTGAATTTTTTTTTAATACACGGAAATCCTGAAAACTGTCTAATAATCCTGAAAAATTCTGAGATATCGTTCCCGGCTAGCTGATTCGAAAGAATAAACTGTCATAGTACCGGACCCAGATTTTTGAAAAATTCGATTTAAAAACTTTTCTTTATATCCGAATCTAAGAATCGTGAAGACTGCCTAAAAATTCTCAAAAAATTCTGGAACATAAATCTTGGAGAGCTGATTTGATAAAAATAAAATATCGTCTCTACCGGACCAGAATTTTCGAAAAAAATGATTTGAATTTCTTTTATCTAGAAATCGTGAAAGTCGCCTAAAAATCTCCAAAAAATTCTTCAACATCGATATCGACAAGCTGATTCGAAAAAATAAAGTCTCAGTGGTACAAGACCAAGTTTTCGAAAAATTCAATTTGGAAACTTTTTTTTTAATATTTAAAAATCATGAAAACGGTTAACAAATCCTCAAAAAGTGTTGGGATATCGATCTCGACTAGCTGATTCGAAAGAATAAAGTATCATGGTACCGGAGCAAGATTTTCGCAAAAATCGATTTAAAAACTTTTTTTTTTAATATTTTAGATATTATCGTTAAAACTACCTAAAAATCCTCAAAAAATTCTGGAATTTAATCTAGACGAGCTGATTTGAAGAAATAATGTGTCAATGGTGCCGGACTAAAATTTTAGAAACATTCGATTCGAAAAACTTTTGTAAAAATATTTAAAACGTAAAACATTAATGTGTTCATTAACAGAACACATAACTTTATTCTAAAACAGTGGAAACAGGAAAAAGTAAAAAAAAGTTATAACATTAAACATTAGCGTAAAGTTACAAATATTCAAGTGTCCGGGATTTTTTGTCTGGCAGTATATATAGAAATCGTGAAAATGGTTTAAAAGTCCCCAAAAAATTCTAGGGCATAGATCTAGACAAGCTGATTCCAAAAAATAGAATATCAATGGTACCGGATCAAGATTTTCGAAAAATTCGATTTGAAAATGTTTTTTTTAATATGTATATAGAAATCGTGAAAACGATCTACAAATCCTCAAAAAATTCTGGCGTATCGATCTCGCCTAGCTGATTCGAAAGGATAGAGTGTCATGGTCCGGATCAAGATTTTCGAAACATTCGATATGAAACCTTTTTTTTAATATTTAAAAATCCTCAAAAAAATTCTGGAGTATAAATCTTGACGAGTTGATTAGAAAAAATAGGGTGTCATTTCTACCGGACAAGTATTTTCAAAAAATCGATTTGAATTTTTTTTTATCTGGAAATCTTGAAAGTTGCCTAAAAATCCTCAAAAAATTCTGGGATATCGATCTCGATAAGCTGATACGAAAAAATAAAGTGTCAATGGTACCGGACCAAGATTTTAGAAAAATTCGATTTGAAAATATCTTTTTTTTAATGTCTGGAAATCATGAAAACGGCCTAAATGTCCTCAAAAAAATCTGTGATATAGATCTCAATGAGCTGATTCCAAAAAAATAAAGTGTTAATACTGAAGTATAAATATCGACGAGTTGATTCGAGAAACATAAAGTGTTAATGGTACCGAACAAGGGTTTTCGAAAAATTCTTGAAATTTTGAAGAAAGATCAAAGAATTCATAGAAAATAATATACTCCTGTACTTGTGGCTTATGAATCCACCTTGATTTTTTACTTTTAATATGCGTACCTTTTTTTATAGTAATAACAATAACGCCGGTTCGATTCCGTTGCGTATTCAATCCCCTCGTTGACCTTTTTTCCTTACATTATGACTGGTATTACCTATATTTTTTTAATCTGTAGGGATTATCATAAAAAAATAAATTTCACAAAATCAGATCTTAGAATTTTCAAGCACTGTATATTATGGCTCCAATAAAGCACATACCATTAGTTATCTGGTCATAAAATATTTGCAAGATGGCAAAAATAATCCTAGTGCAATTTTTTTTGGTAAAAAATTTCAAGAAAAGTGGAATAAGTTGACAACGTCGCACCAGAATTTTACAAATAAAATATTCTTATGTAACTTATTTCTTCCGTCTATTCCAAGCTTATTTGCCGTTTAGGCTGTCTGCCTGGAGCCGGTTGAAAACTACTGAACCGATTGTTTTAAAATTTTATATCCACTTTAAAACTATAGTGAAGTTCGCAAGAAAACAACACCTTTAGAGAGCTTTATCTTATTTTGCCCAATTCTTATTAAAAAATATATATAGGAACTCTAGCTACTTAGTCTGACGACTATTCGGCTAATTCGGAAAATGTCAAGATTCTGTTTAAGTACCTCACCGTCGACGTATGTATGTAATTAATACAAATCTCACCAACCCATGCATCAAATTGTTACCTATCCCACATCACCTTCACTCTCCCTAACTTATTTCTCCGCGTTTCACTCCATCTCCAACCCATCTCACTCCGCCGTCCCTCGGTGTCGAAATCGAAATAAACTCGAATTGTCTGTCTGTTTGCAGCATAAACACAACAAACCCGCACACCAGCGGTCCCAGTCTTTGAACCGTGGCGTTCGTGGTCAGTGGGGCTCCAGGGGGCCCGAGTTCAATACCGAAATGTGGTGACAGCGGGGACAGTGCCAGTGCCCAGCGGCGGCGATGGGCAACAAACTCAGCTGTTCGTGCGCACCGCTCATCAGGAAGGCGTACCGATATGAGGACTCGCCGTGGCAGACGTCAAGGCGTCGCGACGGTCATCTACTCAGGTAATCGACGCAGAAATAAACACACACAAAGATTTCATCATCGGATAAGAACTAAACGCTTCCGGCTAGCGTGCTAAATTTACCCAGTTTTTATTTAGTTTCTTACAAATTTTAACAAATGCCACCAATTATCGCAAACAAGCCCCCAATCCGAGAACAAAATTACTCCGTCAAGACTAAACGAACGAGATCACAAAACACGAACATCCCCGATACTTTACCCCAATTATATCGTTCTCGTTTATCAGCACCTTCTTGTATTTTCCGCAACAATCAATACAGACACACCTTATCCGCGGTAATTTATAGCCGCTCGCTCCCATTCATCGTTCGAACGACCCTACTGATTAATCCCGTTTTTGGACAGGCTGTGGGCGGAAGTGTTCCATGTCTCTGCGAGTGGCGCTGGTACAGTAAAATGGCAGCAAGTTAGTGAGGATCTCGTGCCTGTTAACATCACCTGCATTCAGGATTCGCCGGAATGCGTCTTTCACATAACGGCCTACAACTCGCAGGTCGACAAAATCCTGGATGTGCGGCTGGTCCAGCCCGGTAGGGATCACCAATGCAAACCCGTCGCACCCGATCCAAGCAAGACCCAAACAAAAGGTCCTTAAATCCTCAGGAGCGAGGACAATCTAGTACTAGGACTTGAAAGATTCCGGGCTCTTGATGTCCTCGCTTTCTGCGGACTTTTCTAAATAGGGACATCCACTTGGGGCCAAACTCGTTTCTTAAGTCCTGCAGGACTAATAACCAACTTGGTAGCTGCACGGCTAAAGAAGTTGAAGTTTGGCCCAAAGGACTCAATTTGGCTTGATCCTTCTACCTGAAGACTTTTTAAATCCACCTAGTTGTTTCTGATCCCTCTTTGTGCAAGCAAAAGGTCCTTAAATCCTCCAGGAACCAACGTTTGAAAGGTTCCTGGGTCGTTCCAAACCGGGACATCCACTTGGGACCAAACTCGTTACTTAAGTCCTCTAGGGCTAACATGAATGAAGTTGAAGTTTGGCCCCAAGACTCAGATTTGGTTGATCCTTTCCTTGAAGCCTTTTTAATTCCAGGTGGTTGTTTCTGGTCTGATTTAGTCTGTTTGCAGGGACGCGGATAGGCCAGGCCTCCGAGTGCTTCGTCTACTGGAAAGATCCCATGACCAACGACACGTGGGGCTTGAATTTCACCTCGCCCATCGATGCAAAACAGTTCAGAGAATGTTGTGTAAGTATCAAATCTGTCACGAAGGTTAAAACGACCATGCCCACGCCTGTTGCATTGCGGTGTTGTTCATTCGTTCGGTATAAAATTCGCCCACGCTGTACTACAGACAACGCCCACCTGGGAATGAATGGAATTTATTGTGGGCCAGGACTTTTTGTATGCCGACCGATTGTGTCGGGTGTCAATGGAAATTGGACGCGGAAATTATGATAAACTCGTTAAATGGACGGCCGCTGAGTGCTAGCAACACGCAATGCATACATTAATAATTCCGTGTTCAATTATGCAGGAGTTGAATGGGGCTTTATTTTTAAAGGAACTATTTTTATACTATGTGTATAAATAAAGCGTGAATGGAGTTAACGAGTGCAGGGTTGAGGCCCACAAGGATCGACAACCCGGTCCTTGTGGTACCTCGCTGCACTACACCAATCATCCGCCTAATTCTTTTTCTTACATGATAACCAATTAATTTTCGTAATTTCAGTCCATGGTAAGTGGTGCCAGTCAAAATTGCCTAAATAATCTCTCTATCACAAGATTAATTTACCAGTGCACACCCCTAAAACACAGTTCAGACAGATACAATTTGAGAAGGTTTGATCCCGTTCACCCCCGATTCAGATGCCTGCCCATTAAAACCTGCACCGATAAGCCTCCAAAGCAACGGCCTGACCCCAATGAATAAATCAAATCACAAATCTGCATGAATTTGCAATATTCGTACCCTCGTCATCAAATCTGTCCGCGATCGCCGACAAAGATGTTACATGTTGCATGTTCATTCGCACCTCCATGCACTCGATTTTTGAATTTGGCGCCGGATCAGTCCGGCGCCAAGTTCGCGCTCTCACCACCATAATCACCCCAGTAGTATGTCTTATAATGCTTATTAAACGCAGTGTGATTTGTTGCAGTCGCCCTCGTTTAAGTTCTCGCGGAAGGCGTCGTCTTCCTACTCGCTCAAGCTGGAACCGCCGAACAAGCAGAAGTTCAAGACGAAACGAAAGCCTTTGAGCACGCCCGCGTCGCCGAGCCGGGCTCGGGAGCCGCAGTGCACGTGCATGACAGCAGAGCAATACGCAAGACTGAGGGCACAGGACCCACGCTATAGAGGTAACTAGCCCGATTTTGTGTCCCGATACTTACTCAGTTGTTGTAGGATCGTCGACTTTGCCTCGGGCGCAAACGCGCGCCACCGACACGGACGGAAGAACCGACAAAGTCACCGCTGCCACTTCTTCCACTAGTCTATATGATAACGTTGGTGCTACACAAACCGGTTCTACACAAGGTGACGTTTGTGATAAAACTATGCTTGCTATAGGTGCGCTTGTCCGCTGTGCCAAACCCAAGCGTCACTCTTTGCGTTCCAGGTACTAAAGGGACACAAAGAGAGGGGAGCCAGACGCGCCAGATGCGCGACCGCGGGGTGCAGCAGCAGTCGCAGGAGACCAGCACGATGACATCCAACACGGCTACCGGACCAAAGACCGTGACGGCGTCTGTGGGTACCCAGAACAACGTCGGTTCACAGGTCGTTCAGACTGAAACCCAATCGCAGACGCAGACCACGGAGTCGACGAAGACGGAGGGGACCCAAGCCGGGGGGACCCTCCAGATGAACACGAAGACGTCGTCGACGTCCACGCGGCCGCCGCTGCGCGAGAACGCGCACCACGTGCTCACCAACACCAAGTCGGTAGACTACTCGGACATGGACATGCGCGAGATGGACATGCGGAACGCACACCACCACAACCTCCTCAACAACAACATCAGCAGCAGGCGGAACAAGTCGAAGAGCACGGAGGACATGAATAGGGAGAATAGTATGAGTTTGGATAGCAACACGCTGAAGAGGATGCTCAAGCCGATGCCGAGCGCGGAGAGCCCGGTCACGTCGCCCGAGATGGGCAGGCGGAGGTACAACTACTACAATAATCACCACCACAGGCACCCGAACAACAACGGGCGGCACTCGGAGCCGGAATCGGGACACCCGCATCCACGGTCAGCGATGGCGCAGAATTCGAGATTCTCGGGATCTAGGTGGGTAGAGGCATGTCGGTGTGGTGTACGGGTACAAAAAACCGCACGAGCTTGTCAATGAAACTACTAACAGCGAGGTACAACCAGCTTCAATTATAGGTCGTCGCACGAAATCGGGCGCGGGTATCCCGGTCGGGGGTTGTACCTGGAGCTCGAGCGAGGCGCCTGTGGTGACCTGTCGCCGCCTTCCGACAACGTTCTGTTCGATAATCAGTGTTACGCCACCACTCCCAGCTCGAGCAACGGCAACTCGGACCCGGAGCAAGGGGGCCACCACTACGGGAGACCGTCGAGGCACATCCACCACCAGGTACTATTTCGCAAAGCACGAACCCGTCTAAATCTATCTTATCGTAGAACGCCAACAACACCCCGACGCCCGGGTCTCCCACCAGCCGCCTCCTCCTCGAGTACGAAATGCACCTGCGCAACACCCTCGCCAAAGGCATGGACGCCGAAAGCTACAGCCTTCACACCTTCGAAGCTCTCTTAACCCAGAGCATGGAGAACTTAGGTACGACGATAACTTCCGCTACCTTCGCTAATACCCCTATGTTTGCAGAATTCGCCGAAAGCCTCCCCGGCTCAACGCAACGCAGCCCTTACCCTTCCCGAAAACGTGCGTATCGCAGTCCCTTGTCACCCCAGACTAATTGCGAGTTTCAGGACCGTCATCTAGCGCTTCCATGAATAAATCCTCGACGCTTCCTTTGTCGCACCGTTTGGGGACGGCGGCCCGAGAACGAGACCGAGAACGCGACGGCTACTACAGCGACAGAAACGAACTGCTGCGGGAACGAGAGAAAGACAGAGAGCGCGACCGGGGGTACTTGAGCGACCACAACTCGAGGTGGGTTTCGCACCACCGCGCCATCAATCACGCTGATTGGCTTGTAGTTTTAGCTCGAGGTGCGCCTCGTGCATCGGGGAGTCCAGCCGGGCCCAGTGGTTCCGGCACTCCGACGGCTGGAGATCCGGAAGCTCGAACTTCGGCTCGGGGCAGACGCTGCCGCAAGGTCACAAGAGGTCGCCGTGGGACTCGCTGCCCTCGCTCAGGCAGGATAGTAGCCTTAACGATAGCGGCTACAAGAGCAATCGGGCGGACAGCTTCGAACAAAGGTGAGTAGGGACGACGAAAAATTCGATCATGTGGCGTCCCGATTCGAAAACAGTCCCCGGTGAAATTTACGGTATTGTTTATTCGAGATTTGGGCTCCTATTAAGCGTAGAGTTTGAAAAGTAACACCCTCACGGGGTAATTTATCGGGCCGCAGCCGTCATAAATTTCCGGCTTCTCCTCCTCGAAATTCCGGCGGTTGTTTCGCGAACGAAAAACAAGCACTCGCCGTTTCGGATAATTGACTGCTTGTCTTCCGCGTCCATGATAAGAATTTTAAATTCGGGTTGATGTATTTAGGGGTTGCGCGAAGAGGCTTTCGGTGTTTGTTCGATATAACTTGTACAATGTGGCAATTAATTCGTGATTGTGTGAACGTCTCCGGTTGAGGGGATGACAGCAACAATCACACAAGATAAACAGACGAGGGTTGCTTGGTGGCGCGCCCAATTTCGTAAATATGCTTAAATTAACTTCCGACAATTGGGGTGGCGTGGCATAACCGCATTTTCCGGTGTTTGCTTGGGAGGTGGTCTCGCTTCCTGCGTCTGGCCGGGTTTCCGGATTCGTTCCGATAAATCGTCTTAACAAGACTTTACGACACTACTATTCTTCGGGATTTATTCTGTTTTCGAACGACGAGACATGATTTTAACGATATCGGAGTGGAGAGACGGGGTATTAACAGATTTAAAGAGACGCTGGGGTTTCTTGCGGAAATCGCAGAGAGAGATTTCGGGGGAAATTTACTCGCCGGCTCGAAGAAGAGGCTTTGTTGGACGATAATGGGATGGGGGTCGAGTGACCTAAATAGCGCCACGCCCTGCACAAATTGGTCCATTTAGTTCGAACTTGTGTTTTAAAGTTTAGACACGGAATTCTCTCTAGGGGGAAGAAAGTGACCCGAAACGAGACTCTCGCGTGGACAAATAAAAAGTAAAAGTCCCGTGATTAACTCGATCTGCACTACTGGGAACACGGTTAAGTCGAAGTTTTGTTTGCATTTGCTATGACAGAGCAGGCGATAAGTGCGCCCCACTGGGACCTCATAACTCGGCCTGATTGTGCGAAATGATCTCCCGACAAATCTCCCTCGCGTTGTATGCAACCAACTGCACACCAGAGTGTAATAGATTGTCTGACAACTGCTGTATCGATCGCCGCTCCAAAACCCCATTAACTAACATACTGAGCGTCTTCGTAATGGCTCCGGGTTCAATCCCTGATGGGCAATTCCTTTTTTTCAAAGCGAACATTATTACTAAAGGCACGTAACAGATATCCTTGGTCGTTATTAGCGCCATCAGCAACTCGACCCGTTGTTTCGTTAAAATTTCTATCTCGGCGAAAAAATCACACAAAACCTATGATTGATGGAGCATTTCTAGAATCGTTAATATTCCTTGCAGGGGCATGTTCGACCGCCAGGACAGTTTGCGATCGGATTACATGAGTGATAGAGAGTCTTCCAGATATGGAATAGTCCAGCAGGCATCTATCGAGAGCGCCGATTCGAGGTTGTGCTATCTGACGTCGTCAGAGGTAAGTCCTTTGGAATTTCGAGCTTGTCGATGCGGGAAACGCGAAATGGTGGCACGTCCTCGGATCAAATCCTACATTGTGTCATTTTACACGACCTGATCTCCGCACGAACGGAATTTGAATGAGATCGAATTGAATCGATAGCTCGGGGCTAATTCACTTAAAATCACCAGATTGGGGTTCGAAGCTTTAAAGTTTAACGCGTAACTCCAGTTACAACGGTTATTTTTAAATTACATTTGTTTCGTGCGTATCGGGTAATACAAGCGACTACGAACATAAAAACAAGTGAATGAAACAAACAACTCGGGTTCGCTTTTATTGCTTTCAGTTATTTCGTTCGAGGAGGCTCAGCAGGATTTTAATTTCCTGTACTGCACGTGTGCACACTTGCAGCCTTGGCTGCGTCGCAGGATTCATGACAATACGCCCACTACAAACTGAATTTAACGTGTCCAAACAGGTTCAACCGTCTTGCGATTTACGGCCGCACATTTGGCATCAAAAACCGTTTAGATAGCCCACATCCGCCATAAAACCTTATTTCATCCCACCGACTGCGCCAATTCCGCGTTTCCAAGGCCCGTTTGTCAGCTGTTCGCCGCCAGCTGGCTTTTTGTAGTTCGCGCCGCCCCCGCCCCCACTAATTATTTCCAAGGCCGCCGCAGCGCGTCCATCGATCTCCGCGTGGGCGGCCGGAAGCCGGAAAGTCGAGAAAAACTTGGCCCACGGCGCCCTTGACTCACTCATGGGTCCGTGTTCACCTCAGATTGATTCCGCCATACCGGAGGAATTCAGCCCTCCGCTCCGGGCCGGCCTTGCGTTTCCGGGTATCACCGGAGCGTGCGCACTGGCGCGATCCGCGAATGTCATCTTGCAGTAGCCGATAAGCTGTGCCGAAATATGTGCGAAAAATTCACGTGTTTCTGGCGGGGTTTCGTCCGGCGGGGGCGGCGCGGCCCCGAGGCCACCGGAGGCCACCCGGAGGAGTAGAGTGAAGGCTTTTTGGGAAATGACCATTGCGCCCCGTTGTTTCGCTGGTTGTCGAGAGCATGGTGCGCAGGCGCGTTGACTATGTTATCAAATTGGTACGTATTCCGGTTTGGGTAGAATAGTGCACATGGGCGACATGTGGCGGCGGGGATGGGAGATGGGAGTCGGGGCTGCTGGAGTTATTTTAGTAGGATTCCTGCGGCGGGGAATGCGCGATTTTTCCAGAGATGTAATTGGATTCTTGGAGCGGGGAGGGATGCGTTTGTAGGTCGCGCTTGGTTGAAGGTCAGGTTGAGGTACGCCGGAGGGCACGCATTTTTCGGATTTCTTCCGCTTCAGAATTTATAGAATGGCCGCACTTTGTTTATTAGGTATAAAGGGCTATTCATCGCGGAGAAGTTAGTTAATCAAAAGCGGGCTTCTCTTCTGGAAGTTTCAAAGGAAAATGAAAATTTCCTGCTGGGTTTCAGAGTAAAGTCATGGACGGTTAGTTCACCGGAGAGATCAAAATTTAATTTAGTTTCAATTTTGTCATCAATAGACGATTAACACGCGACGTTTAAGAAGTCAAAAAACCTAGGTAATTTGTCAAAATCGTTAGTATTGAAGCAAAACGTAATTAATCACTCACAACGACGTCTTAAGATAAACTGGCTGCAGGAAAATTAACCCTTTTGATAAAGTTGTTTCAAACAGGCGCGCAGGAGTTAGAAAGGCCAAATTACACTGGTCAACAAAATTCAATTTTTTCTCTCTAACTTTGACATAATTGTAATGTTTTCGTTTAATTTGTCTCTGTGTTTGTAATAAAGGGCATAAACCTTACAACTTAGCTCAATTAAAAATAAAAATGCATATTTGATGTTAAAAACAAAAAAGCAGGTAAAACAATTTAATTTTTGTATCTTTAACGGCGAAAAGTGATGTATTAACAAAAGAACAACCATAATTAAGAAAAAAACAACGATTGCAGTTTAAAAAACGAAAAAAAACAAAAGAAACAGCTAAGACCGACGTTTTTTCGGTTGCCTCCTATAGATTTCATTGGAGATCTCTCGCTTGATGGTCCCGCAGTATTCTGCGACCATTTAGGTGTTCCATCGATCTTGGTAACGTTTTTGTATCCACAAAATGCCCAGATGGAAGCGTTCTCTACGTCCGTCACTCACGTCGTCATAATTTTTGGGGAAAAAATCAAGATGGGAATACATAAAATGCACTTTTAAGAATATGTTAATTTCAAATTTTTTATATGATGATAACATGTTTTCTACTTACTAAACGTAGTTTTCTTATTGTTTCCCAAGAAGTTTGTAGCAATTTGATCACAAAAAAATTCACCTTATAGAAAGTTTCCTATTACTTAATAGTACGATTTTTGTATTTTTCAAAGGATAATATTGAAGATTACTTTTAAATGAGAGCTAAGTTTGGGTTTAGCCGTTTATAATATCATTTAAAATTGTTAATTAAATAATAATTGGCTGCTATAATAAAAGTTAGAGCTTAGCTGTTGACCAGTGTTATAGATAAATGAAACGCTACCGTTGTCGACGATTTCAACATACTACCAAACTATTCGCTCCAAATTAGATTAAGATTCCAGTCTGGCATGAAATAGAACGTGAAGAACACAAAGCGATTCCTGATGACATACTTATTTAGTGCAAACAAGTCGAAACAAAATTAACAAGCAGTGACTCCGCTTGCTGATGGTAGTTGAAACGTATAGTTAATGAGAAATTTCTTACTTATAAATAGCTGCACTTAGAAGCTTTCGTTCCATTTTAATACACTCTGTATACTATACACATTTTAATTGAGACTTTAGAAATGATTTAATTGCAAAAGTTAAAATAGTGCCGATATAATTAAGAAAACTTTACCTAATTTTGGCACCGACAGTCGCTTTTTGGTGGATTGAAATTTTCGTCTGAGAAACTTTTTTTTGCTGGAATGAGAATATTAAATTTCCGTTCGATATCTAAAAACGAGTTATAAATAAAATCCAGTTTATGTTTGACAGACTTGACGTACTTTAAATTTCTTGGCAAAACTGGTGGAGGCGCCAGGATAATAAGTAATTAAAAAACTTATTTCGAGCATATTTAAAAAACTCCCACAGTGAATGACATGTTTTGGGCAGAAACGACGCATTTCGTTAAATTTCTTGATGAATAAAATAATACATTAAACATTTTAAATAACAATATTAACTATTGACAAAATTTCATATAAAATAATAATATTCATGTTGCATAAAAAATGACCCTTTGGTTTCAAGTTAATTATTTGAAATTTCGTTCGTTCGAACGACATATTTTTCTACAGGATAAGGAACTCCACAGAGAAATAGAAAAAAACGTCCGCTATTTAGCAAATTAAATAAAATTGATGGGCTGGCGAAAGAACAAAACTAAACACATAACTTCTGGACTTTAATATTTATGTCTTTTTTAACTACACTTGAATTAATTATTTCAAGTGAAATAATAGAAATTAGTTAACTTAATAGCCGTAAAAAAAACTTTAGAGACAATAAAAGTTTGTTTTTTGGATGAAACCATTTGTTTTTAAACACATAGTCTTGTACATTAAGTCTCTGGCGTAAATTAAAGGCAAAGCCGAAAGTTACAAATGGTCCCGAGGCGTAGCCGAGGGTTAATAAATACCCGCAGCTCACGAGTTTCACCACTAATGAAGTTTTTCGAGCCATTTGATCAAATTTAGTTTGGTTTAAAAATGGTGGAGGCGCCGAACAATAACTAATTTTCAATAAAAATATCTATTTCGAAAATTGACCTTTAGGTCGTGGTCCTGTAAATGTAGTCTGCAGAACTCTGCCAAAGTTTCAACTCTTGTTTTAAAGTGTTTAATATATTTTTTGATTATTTAATTCAAAAAATTTTAAGGAACTCAAAACTTAACCATAACATATTTTAATTGAAGTTTCGATTGTTCAAATAACAGATTCATCTACGTCTGAGCAGCTCCACAGATATAGAAAAAAAGGCCAAGATCCAAAGCAACTTAAGTAAAATTGATGCGCTCGCGAAAGAACAAAACTAAACTCATAAATTCTAGACTTTAATATTTATCTCTGCTTTAAGTACACACTCGAATTAATTATTTCAGGTGAAATAATAGAATTTAGTTGTTTTGATTCCTTTTAAAAGAACTTTTGAAAAAGTTTGTTTTTAGATGAAACTATTTGTTTTTTAAACACAAAGTTTTGTACATTAGATTTCTGGCATAAATTGAAGACAAATGCGAGGTAAAGCCAAAAGTTACAATATCGGCCCGAGGCGGAGCCGAGGGTTGCAACCTACTCACAGCTCACCAGCCTCACCACTCATAAAGTTTTCGCGTTTTATGAAACAATATTTCGACTACGAATATATTTATGAAACTTCCACATTGAATAACATTTAAATTTTCTTAATACACCTATGAATAAAATAACACGTTCAGCATTTTTGAGTTGGGTTTTTACTCTAAAAAATTTTATGATCAACATTTTTGCAAGGACACGTATATCAACTTGTATTGGTGCACTGCAATACCAAAAGTAACAGTATTGTACTCCCAAAATTTTCTGGGAAAATGGAGTGAGCCGTCCTAATTTAACAATAAAATAAATTGACACATTCAGGCATTTTTTTGAGCCACCTGTATAAACCAATCTAAAAGATATGAATGCGATGATAAACCACAAGTAAAAACTCATCACATTTTGCACTTTTCGGGTAGATTTAGCAATTTAACTCGCTGCTATGGAAATTTGCAATTTAACACCTTTAAACTTCACAAGTTTGTACAAGATAAAAGGGGCAAAATCAGTTTTATCGTAACAATTACTAGGCCCGCCCACCCGCCCCCTATTTTCCCAGAGTATATGTGATTTGCCGAAATAAGTCTTATCTTGCTAAGTAGTAGCCCCGCCCACCCACCCTTTAGTTTCTTAAAGGGTATGTCATCTGCCAAAATCAGTCTTAACTTACCAAATC